TAGTTAGGATTCGTATTTAAGTCTCTGTTCTTGCAGCTACATCAAGCTGAACGAAGGAGAAGGGGTGCAAGAGATGAAAGCAGATGGAGTGGGATCCAGTCAGAGCTGAGGGCTTGGCCTCCCTGCAGGCATCTGGAAAATGGAGAAAGAGTAGCTGAAGCTCTGGGAAGGCCAGGCGTAAGGGCAGAGGAGTCACACACATTGTTTCATTCCATCCACTTCTGGGCTGTGGGTTCAGGCACGAAGGAAGTGGCTACAATACCACATATAGTTGTTAGAACTCCTAAGAATTGCTAGAGCCCACAGTGTGAAGCAAAGTAGGTTAGATCCAAGTCTGGCACAAAGCAAGAAGAATGCCACAGATATGCAAGTTAGGTTGCTCATTATTATACAGAAATGCCCTTAACTCCCAGGCTGGCTGGGCCCTTCCTAGCTGTCATTACAGCTCCTCACGGTAGAAGATTCTGGGCAAATCAGTGGACTGTTTCTGGATGTCAGATGAGCTCCATGACTGGCCCTGTTTAACCTAAGCCCATTAATCAAGTCTGATGATTTAATTACTGTTGAAACAAACATGTCAATGGCAATGCGATACATTGCAAACATCTCTATGTCCCAAACGCCGGGGGGAGTTACCCAGAGAAGAAAGGAAAATTTAGCCTTTCTCTAAACAAAGGCATTCTCCCTTTGTATAAGCAGAGATGGGAGATAGGCTCTGAATGTGTGCTCTCTGGCTTCTGTGTTGGAGATGCCACACATTCCCTACAGCAGAGGCCCCAGTGCCCTAACCACCCTGTCTCCAAATGCAGCAGCCTGTAAGCCCTTGCTGAGCCCATCTGGTTTTCCAGCTGTGTACTTGGAAAGAAGAAGCCACAATTAGCTAAATACCATGTAGACCAAGGCACCGAAGCAGCTATTGTGGGGTACCATTTTGGACCTGATCTCCGGGGAACCCAGTATGAATCAGATATATAGCAGCAGTGAGATGCCCCACTGCCCAGAGAGAGAGATGGTGACTGAGAGAATAGGTGACTGTTTCAGATGCTTTCCTGTTGTCTGCGTGAGGCCTGCTCTATTTACTGCTCTGGCCCTACAAGATGTACCTGGATGCTTAGAATAAATTCCTCTTTGCTTCTGAGCTTGAGGGGTTTCTATCTCTTGCAACCACTCTTCTTTGTTAAGATACCTACTCTGTGCCATGCCAGGTGCTCTGGGGAGAGGTAAGAATGATTAACATAAGGTAGCTACTTGATCCTTTGAAAATACCCTCCCATGTCTTTTGTTTCTTTATACTTATATCCATACTTATCTGCTGTTCTATTTCACTAACCATATCATTTAAGCAATTAATTATTTGCTAATTATTCAACGTTTGTTCATCTTTATTCTCTAATTAGACTGAAAATGCACTAATATAAAAAACCGTGTCATATATGTTTTTTGCACCCCCTAACAGTGCCAGGGATGATATTTTAGCCAATAATTATATTAAATTTTTTAGTTAAATAGCAAAGAAAGTGAATACAGAATCAGGAGTCAATCTAGTTATTTATTATACTTTAATAAGTGCAAGTTTCACTTATGCCCTCCTTTGTCCATTCGTTTGTCAGCCACTGGTTCACTTAAATCCATCTGGTGAGTGGCTTGAAGTCGGAGAGATTGGGAGAAACTAGAGCAGTTCGAGCTTCTTAAAACCACCCACGTGTATGGTAATATAAGGGTCTAGAGGGTAGGAATGCAGAGGAAAGTACACTGTGAGACTTCAGGAGTAAAATCAACAACACTCGGTGACTAGAAGGACTGTCAATTGGGCAGGGGAATTAATCAAAGATGGGGGGAAATCTTAGTATGTTTCCAAGAGAGCTTGCATGGCAAGGTCCTAGAGAGTGTGTGGCTGGCCATAGGAATATTGCAAAGTGAATTGTACTCCCTTTCAAGGAACTTAAAAAACAAAACAAGGGCCGGACGAGTGGCGCGATGGTTAAGAACGGGCTTGGGACGCCAGAGGGCCCCGGTTCGGATCCCACATATGAGGGCCAGTGACACTGCCCTCTACAGCTA